AATAAATAAATAAAAAACTAACATAATGGTGTTAAAATGTTAATACTTGCGTTATGCCAGAAATTACATCCTTCTCAATGATTTCAAAGTATAATGAAAAGCTTCAGGTGTCAACGTTTTAAAATGTCGACTTAAAAATACGTAAGGAGGAATACACGCTTTCCAACGTCTTAAAGAGGGTACGTGACCAAAACACTTAGAGTCCACTCTGCAGGTTAGTCGTAACTACGTAACTAAATAGATGCTCAAATAATTCCTGCTCTAGTGTCAATAAACATCAGCTGATCGTGCCAGTTCTCAAGGGGTTCAGAGATCCAAGAAGAATTAGAACCCCAAGGTTCTAAAGTAACTGCAGAAGACAGGACATATGGGTAGCAAGTAAATGCTTTTCAAACCTAAGACTCAAATTCTTGAATCTGCCAATTAATCAACAGCTCCCTATAATTATACAAAGGAAAGAGTGTGCAACAGAAAGGCAGGCCGCTCCAAGAGCCCCCGCACCCCCGCTCCCCTCTTTGTCTGGAGGAGAGACCGCTGCACCCACAGATGGGCAGGCAGTGGACTGTTACGAAATGGTTCGCTGCAGCTCTAAAATATTGGGCGCTGCACAGACACCCTCCTGAGGCCTTCAACTCACTGATGAGGCCGGCAGGGAGTGTGCCGGGCTGCAGTTTAAACCGTGAAATGCAGCCACCTTTAACTTAAGCACTTACAAAAGTTTCCACGGTGTTGCCAGGTGGGACGGTACAAGACAAATGTTTTAATAAATTGGTGTTTTATGAATTCAATGACACTAGGGATTGTATGGTTTGTGTTCAAACGGGCAGTACTAATTCAGCTTTAAATAAACTAGCCTCGGCTCAGAATTTCCTTTATATTATTTATTTGGAAACTCCTTTTTTATCTGGTAATTCCAAAATAAATAAGACAAACCCTGCCGGAATGACTACCAATTCTGAATTAAGCCAGGAATCCTGGCTTAACTGCATTTTCCCGGATCATTTCTGTCACCAGAATAGCCTTCAGTCTCAGATCTGCTTTGTGAAGCTGAGAGTGTACAAACAGAGCAAGGAGAACCTGCCAGAGTCCCGTTAGCTAATCACCGACTTGGTTTTCTCTAATTTAGTCAAACATGCAGTATAATAAAATGGCAAACAATGACATCAACAGGAACTTCCAAAGCAATGGACTTTTTTAAAAGCGTGGTAAGAGAAAAACACGCTCTGGGTCCCTCGAGAATTCGGTTCCAGGCGCGCGGCAGGCAGCTCTGGCTGCCGGCGGGCCGCACGGGAAGGGCCGGCTGCGGGGCGCGAGCAGGAGCCGGGGACGGGCTACAGCAGCTCAGAGCGCCTCCTCGACCCACCCCAGGCGCGCGGGCCTCCGGAAAGGAACCGCGCGCTCGTCTCCCTCCCGAGGCTTGTTAAGAGCACCACCTCCGTCCTCCTCCTCGTCCTCTTCCTCCTCCTCCCTGCACACCACCCGGGGCTGGCAGCGGCCCTCTCACGCAGGAATGACACCCGCTTCCGGGAAGGGCAAGACGAGGGCAGCCCTGCCCCCTCCCCGTGCCAGTGCGCTGCGCTCCCGACAGAGGAGCCGCCGCCGAGGCCACGCGAGGGGCTACTGTTGTTCTTCCAAAGCCACCGGTGTCGGCGGGCGGCCGGGGTTTCCCGGACACCGTCTATTCCAGACAGGGTGTCCTGAGACGCTGGGCTCACGCCCCGCGTGCCAAGCCCGCCCAGGGCCCTCGGGAAGTAAAGACAAGCTTGCACGGCGGCCACTCACTGCCCACGAGAAGCCACCAGGACCTGAGAGTTACTCAAACCCAAAGCATCTTAGAAGAAATGCTGACAGGCTTAGTAAACAAAGAAACAATCGAAGAAACTCCTGTCTCGGTAAACAGAACTACTATCATTTAGTTGAAAGGAACGCTACTGACTGGAAGGGAGATGAAAAATCCTAAGTAAGTATGAAACAAGTCAGAACGCCACCACCACACAGCAGGAATCACACCTGAGCAGGAGGCTAAGACGCCCCCCGAGTCTCCGATCAGGGGGACGGAAGCAGAGTCGGGGTCCCCCAGCCCACCCGCCCGGCCACTCACCGGACTCAACACCTTCCACCCTCAAACATGGTGCCGGCCGGCCCGAGAGCACCCCCGCTGCCTGTCAGAAACTCGCGGCTCCGGGCCACTGTCCGGGGGTCCTGAACCGGGGCCGTGCCGTCTCCACAGAGAAAGCCTCATCTTGCCCTTCCTCCTCGCTCCTTCGGGACAGACACTGAGCGCTAGCCAGGGGCCAGCTCCGTGCTAGGTCCCTCGGACCCCAGGGAGAGGGCGGCCAATCCCGGGCCCTCCTGAAACCTACCTCCCTGAGCGTATGGCTTCCACGCCCGCCCGCCCGAGACCCACGAAGGCGGGCTACCTCTTCAGAGGCCACCGCTTCAGCACATCGTACGGTCGCTACCTCCCTCAGTTCCCCAAACAGGATTCCTCGTTGTGCGAGAAGGGCCTAGATCCCTGGCTGGAAGGTCCCTCGACACTGCCGCTCAGAGAAGCACGGCTTGGGGGCACGACGTGTGTGGCCGCCCCTCGTCGTCAGGGATTGCTCGCAAGTCGCTACCGAGACAACGAGAGGGAAGCCGCTTCCCGAGGTCTGCTGCAGAAAGGCAAGACCCCGCAAGCATGCCGGGCCACCGGGTCTGTCGCCACAGTGCTGCGGAACGAGAATCCGGCCGACCCTGCCCGCACTGCCCTGGGGTCCTGACCGCGACCCCGATCGGGGCTTCGGTTCTACGAGCCGAGGCCAAGGGAGACGTTGTGGAGATTTTTTTAAAAAGCTTTTAAAAAAGCAACACCGAAGTCACAGTGGCGTTCCTGGTGAACCTTCTGCTTCGGAAAAGCCAGTCTTCCCACGATGCCCGAGGGGAAAATCTGGAATGTCCCCGTGCTCTTTTGGGGAAGTCTAACTCAGAGCGGCAGCGATGAGCACGACGACCCGGGCTGACCCCTGCCTCGTCCGCGCCCCCCACGCAGACACCGGCAAGGACGAGAACCCAGCGGCGCGCTCAGTAACCTGGCGGAGGGAGGACAGGAGACGGCGTTCGCCGCCAGACCCGGCCCCGTCCTGCCGCTCAGGGAACCCCACGCAGCACCCACGGCGGTCCCGAGAGAACTCACCTGCAGGGCGTGCACGGAGCCGGGCTCCCCGTCGCCGCGCCGAGGGGGGCTGTGGGTGGTGCTGGCCCGCTCCCCCCGAGCCCCCCAGGGCGCACCACTCGGGACTCCGAACGGAGCGTACCTGAAGCGCCGTACGAAGACGAGGACGGCGTTCTCCTCGAGAAGCTCTTGACGGCCAGGCTCTGGCCTCGCTGTTTTCGCCGCCAGGCTGTCCGACATTTGGAGTCGATGCTCTGTTTGATTCGATACCAGTCAGACTCCGTGATCCCAAATTTATAGAAAAGGTGACCTGAAAGCACACACCCCGTGTTAAAGGACGGCGAGACGAAGGCCACTCCTCACGTCCCGGCCGTGTGCGAGCCACACGAACACGGGACGGCGACACGTGGCCGGGGGTTGAGAGCCTCACCGGCAGGGACCCGCGACGTCACACATTCACGCGTTGACTGGTCCGCGAGGCGGCCGGCTGGGTACCGGGCCCCACGGGCCTCCAGGACGCCCGCGCTCAACCACGTCCACTCACACTCCACACACGGCACTCAGGGGCCTGAAGGTCGAGGTTAAAACCGAAGCCCACGACGCCCTGGAGCCGCGTCCGCAAGCACCAGCTCCCCTCCGCCCGTGCCTCCGGGCCTGCGGCCGTCCCCCTTCCCCCCAGTCTCGGCTCAGACTCGACCTCAGCGGCCCTGCCCGGAACCAGCCCGTTGGACCCTGAGTCCCTCCCACCCGCACCCTGTCCGGCTGACACCTAGAGGACGGACACAGTTACTGTGTGTGCTGTGCCAAGAGCCCAGACCGCCCGGGCACACGGCAGATGCCCCGGCCCTGGTGGACTAAACGCAGTCACGATCCACCTGAAGACACTCTTCCGTCGCCGCCCGAGTCCGAGGCCGACTTCTGTGACTCGCTGTGCCCTCCCTCTGCGCCCGGTCAGGAGGAAAACGCCCCGCGGGCACATCGGTCTTTATCCCCGAGAGCCCGCAGCCCCGCTCCCCGAGGCACATGCGGCCTTGCCCTGGTTCCTCTGGGCCCGGCGGGGCATCTTACTGACGCCCACACTCGTCAACCACTTACACCACAGAGCGCTCTCAGAACGTGACTGAACGGCACCGGAGTCCTCCCTCCCCCACAAGGAAACGGGGGATCAGGCGGGCCACTGAGGCGCAGGGGGCCGACAGAGACCCTCACTGGACCCTTGGCCTCTTCTCTGCCGAGACAACAACAGGAAGTCAGTCACCACCGTGGGAACCACAAGAAACGCTCTTCGACTGGATGACCTCCACTCGAGCGGCTCGCGGAACTTCGCCGACTCACAGGAAAACACGTGGATGAAATTCAAAACTTTCATAATAAAAAGACGGAGCTGAAAAACTTCCTGTTTTGACTGCTAGGAAGGCCGCGTTTACACTGTCCGCGGAGAGCGTGACGGCCGCCTGATCCCTAAGACCTCCTCCTGCCGAGACCACCGGCCAGACAATCACAACAAAGGGAGTGGTCGTTTTCCTAAATTCACAGAAGTATCAAGTTTCTCTTCTCCTGGAAAGATGCGTCTTGATTTCACGAGCATGTGCTTAAGACCTCTGACTCTAAATACGACAACCAAAATTTCTGTCCTCTAGATGAAAAGGCCTTGGGTTGAGGAGACACAGGATTTACAGGATCAGAAAGGAAAATAATCCAAGGAACTTCCAGCCGCATTTTGCGAGCCTCGTGCACAGAAGGAAATACACAAATGAGGCCCAACTCCTTGCTAGCTGATTTCCAGGTCACCTCTAAAATAGCCACAAATCATCGATCAATATTTACTGAGCGGCTGCCACGTGCCCCACGATGGCTTTAAGTTCAAGGGATTGACTCGGAACATTCTGGGCTGGTTACCAACTCTGGCGTCACAGCAGAGCCGAGGACAGGGGTGCCGAGAGAGGGGAAACGGCAACCCAGCGCCATCAGAACGCCCTTCCCGGGACGCGCTTCAGTAAGAGGACCTAAATAAACCCCACCCTCCTGTCCCCACACCGGCACAGGCAGGGAGAAGCCTCCCGAATGCTGCTAGAAACTAATGACGTTGCCTGAAATTCTAAATACTTGGTAACAGAAATGAACGTTTACGACACATATGAATGTGTGACGTTAACACTTAAGTTCCACTTTGTAAAAACCAATTTACCAGTTCAAAGCCTGGCTTACACCCTTTGAAGAAAAAACATACGTCTGTATAGTTACACAGCAGTCGTTTTTAAATTCTCCGGAAACCTCGCTGCATATTCCTGCCAACAGCACGTCCGGCAGCACCCATCCCGCGGCCGCCAGGAACGCCGTCGGGTCAGCAGCGCAGCCAGCTCCCCGCGGAGAGCACCGGGCGCAGGGGGAAGGTGCGCCCCAAGGTGCCCACATGCAGGCTTCGGCTCTGCCCTCAGGGGGCTCATGGAGGTGTCGGGGTGCAGCCTCAGACCGCTCTGTGCTGCCTGGAAATGCAGCTTTCTCCCACTTTTCCGAAAGCGCACCTGTCTTTTCGGACAGCACGGAGCACCGCAGCTTAACGAACGAACGGTGGAAGAGACGTCTTACGATGAGTGGCAAAGAGGTTACTTTGAGAGGCGCCTGGGTGCGTCAGGTGGTTAAGTGTCGACTCCTGGTTTCGGCTCAGGTCACGATCTCACAGTTTGTGACACCGAGCCCCACGCTGGGCTCTGTGCTGACAGTTTGGAACCTGCTTGGGATTCTCTCTCACCCTCTCTCTGACCCTCCCTAGTGGGGGCTTTCTCTCTCTCTCTCCCCACACCCCCATAAATAAACACCTTTCACATGTGATGGTCACAAGAAAGACGCACAAAATTAGACAGTCAACACCCTAGCTTCGGAGCCTGTAGAACTGTCGGGAGTGAGAAGCTAACATCCAGGCCTCCCAGCACCCAGCCGGGTGGAGAAGAAATGGCCACATAACCCCCAGGAGCACCTCCCTGCCCTACACAGCACGCGAGGCCCCACCCACGGACACACAGGAGACCTCGGACAAAAGTGAGCAGCGACCCTGTGCAGGAGACGCGGCCACCTCCAGGCAGCTTCCGGTGCCTTCCCCAGCACATGGGGTCCCCAGGCAGCTGTGGGGGTTCATCTCCTCCGGAAGGCAAGCCACTTGTCCCCTCACCATCTTGGGGGAGAATGCTCAGCAGGCAAACCCTCTCAGCTGCCCCCCAAAATTACGGTCCCTCTGAGCCTGCTTCTGCTGCTTCCCCGGCAAGCTGTCTGCTCACCCCCTCCCTCCCAAAGAGCTGAAGCTCCGTCACCATTAAGTGCCTTCCCACATCCCGGAACGCCCATCCCGACACTGGTGGTTCAAATCATAAAACCGCACTCCAGCTCTCCAACAATGAGCCCCACAGAGGGCTGAGACGCACTGTGGGAAAAAGAAACAGAGCTGGCGATCTCACATCCTCGGTGGGTGGCATGGGGCTCATCAGCCACAGAGGAATGAAAACCACTATCACTGCTCACGTAACCTCAAGTTCAAGGGGAAAGAACAGAAGACTGCGTGCCAGAAATTTATTTCTTAGAATTGGTCTTCACTTGACAGCGACTGACCTAGAAAAACAACAGAAATCTTTAGCCCCCGAGTGAGGAGGACAGGTCACCCCACCTCCCCACAGACTGTGTGCTGTCCAGTGTCCAGGCCGCAGAGCCAGGCGAGGCCTGCTCCCCAGGCAGTGATGGCCCCGACTGAGGAGAAGCAGGAAAGGGAGGCTGAGGGCCTCCCCAAGGCCCTGTGTCCGGGCGACCTGTGAGCCAGGGCCCCGACTGTTCACCTTCTCACCTGTGCTCACCAAACCTGCCCCCCTCTGCACTCCCTCTGGCGCCTCGGCGTTACCAAACACATGTGCCGGGCACCCCCACAGAAGCCGCGTAAGACACCGCGTTCGAGGATCAAGCTCCGGAGAACCCGAGCCCTGTGCCCCGTGAAGTGTCCTCCGAAATCCACGTCCTTCCCAGAACCTCAGAACGTGACCTCCCTTGGAAAGAAGGCCGGCGCAGGTGTGCTGGGATCCCACGGGACTGGTGTCCTGACAAGGAGAGGAGAGGAGCGCGTCCACGGGGAGGACACGAGCAGTGACAGGAGCCGTGCTGTCCCACGCTGCCAGCCGGCTCCAGAATCGCAGGCTTCCGGCCTCCGGGGCGGAGAGAAGGGGGACTCCCTGCTGCTCTGAGCCCCCAGCGCGCAGCGCTCTGTGACTCTGTGACACCGCCCCGGGACGCCCCGAGCGCACCAGGGGAGCGCACCTCAGCTCATGCAGGTGGGCGCCAACGAGCTTCTGCGTCACGGCTGCGCGGTCACGAAACACCACCCTCTACTGGCGCAGCTGCTGGGACGGACCCGGGGGCCGCCATCCCCTGTGAACACAGGGCTCTGGCGTGTGCCAAGTGGAGTTCAGACCACCTCCCGAGGGCTCGGGGGCCCCACGGGACCTCACCCCCACACCAGCAGGCTTCGCGATACCTTCAGAGGTCTGCGACTGCCCACCCGACGGGTGCTTTCGTCGCGTTTCTAGCAACTCACACGGGCGAGCAACTTGCTCCACCATACAGTCCAGGAGAGGCTCGGTGATTCGCTGGGATGAACCGTAAGAACGAAAGTCGTATTTGCAAATCGAGGGGGAGAAGGCAACGGCTGGCGTTCTTAGCTGAGAGCCCCGCCCAAAAACGTTCCAGACGTTTACGGCTATACTAACGTGCTGCTTGTACACACGGCACACGACCTATACGGCTGAGGGAGCCCTCCAATTCGTGGGAGCCCTAAAGCTGCACCCTGAAAAGCGTGTATTTCTCAGGGAGTATTTTAGGCACCGCTTCCCTCCCGAAAACGCACATTCCCTCGTTAGAAAAGCGGTTCTCAGACACACGGCCTATGGATGTTTCAGAATTCCTTTTCCCCAGAGAAAGTAAAGAGAGAAAACTACTTCTGTTGACAAACAAAAAGGGGAAATTTAGATGAGAATCCTCCCCGTGATGACTGCACTTGGCGGCAGCAGCTGTCGCGTTCTGGAAGCCGTGAGCGAGGCTCCCGGGTCTGCAGGAAGCTGAAAACAGAGGCGGGCGCGACAAAGCCACTCTCGCCACTCTCGCCACT